AGGATTACGGAGATTCTTAGGTGAATTTACACACAAATACATGCATTATGGTCTTGACATAATGGGGTGGTTCAATTTCGATTGTCTTGTGCGGTATTGGTATGTTAAAATTCAGTTTTGCTTGGGGGCAAGCAAAAGTCAAGTGTGAGTTATTTTGATGTGTGCTTATTTAGTTATATATTTCATACATTATCATTATTATTTGATGCTATATTTTTGTTAATTGTAGAACAAAAGGTACTTATCATGTTTGAAATATGTTTTGTAGCAGCGAAGACATGCTCGGGACAAAAAGGAAGCATACGAGGAGCTGCAAGTAGGAAAACGAGAGATAAAGGAAAAAATAAGACAAAGAAGGATGTTGTTGGACAGCTTGACCCCTCTTCAGTGTTTTGGCCATATGTCACGACTCATTATTCCAATTGATGAGATTCAAAATGTTCTAAAAACTAGACACAGTTTCAGACGATGTTCAAGTTTTGAGAAAATGTTGATTCCAAAAGAACATTTCGTGTTTATCACAAACACGCCGTGTTGAATAAAATCTTCGCAATTCTTCTCGCTGACTTGGAGAATACGGGGTTTTAATGAAGAACACACCATGTTGGTCTCCAAACATGTTGTGATGATATTAAAACCTATAAATAGAGCTAATAATTAGCCCTAATGATAAATCTTAAACCCCAGATCAATTTCTACGATTATAAACCTCCAACAAGTCGTTTTGAGGGTCTAAAAGGCGGCCGAAAGGCCATTGAGCTGAAAGGAGCGAATATATGAGGGATTGGAGAGCGAATTCATGCTGGTAATCATGTGGTTTGTTATCATTACCATGTTTAGCATTCCATTGTGATTCTATTATGTGTTACTTTCTAATTTAGGGGTTAAAACCCTTTTGCTTTGTGTTTATGGTTAGATGAACCCTTGATTTTGAAGATTAAATGCTATTTGGATTGTTTATTCATGTTGAATTTATTCTATCCATATGTGTTAGAGATTGTTACTTATTTTTTATTGTTGAGTTGATAGAGTTTAGATGACCATCTGACTGTGTTGATTTGAATTAAAGTTGTCCACTAGAGTTTTGACTAAAACCTAGGGTTTGGAATTAAGTAATGAACTATAATGTGTGGGCATGAGTAGAATGACCATTATCTGCATGACTTAATTCTAGGCATGAGCAAAAGAACCGAACCGGTCGGAACTGGCCCGAACCGGACCGGAACCGGGAACCGGCTTCGGCCAAAATTAAGAACCGAACCGGCCCGGCGGTTCTACCGGTTCCCGGTTCCTACCAGTTCTTGTCGTGTCTTCAAATGTTGGAACCGGTCCTTGAAAAATAGCATCATACGGTTCCGGTTTTTGCCGGTTCCGGTTCCTACCGGTTCCCGGTTCCAAAAATCCACAAAAATAATGTCCTGGTCCCGGCCCGACCGGTTCCATCGGGTTCCGGTTCCGGTGCCGGTTCCGGTTCCGGCCGGTTCCCCGGTCCATATGCTCATCCCTACTTAATTCCTATGACCATTAGGGTTAAATAAGATCAAATCTTTCTTAATACAAACTAAATACTAATTTACATGATTGTTTGTTAACCTGATCATTGAATTAATAGTTGTGTTGAAATCAAAGGATTAGTATTAGTGAAAATGAACCTAATCATATTAGAAAAAGGTGAGGATGAATAAATATGTTTATGTGTGCGATTATCTATGATTTTAAGATGTAATTTGTCTAAAACAAAGTACCTAAAGAGATTTGTCTTCGATTAGTTTGTCGAGATTTACTATTTAGACGTTCGTTGAGATTTAATTCCATAAAACCTTTCTTTAATGCTTTCGTGTGTAACCTATAATCAAACACTTCAAATTAATTCACTACCATTCCTCTTGTCTTCGAAATCTTTTCTTACCACAACTATACTATTACATGATTAGGTTCACTGTCTAGTGTGTGTGTTAGTCCGGTTGCGATAAATTCAGTTTTATAAATTTAAAACTTGTGTGTGTGTGTGTGTGTGTGTATATATATATATATATATATCACACGTCAAGAACTAAAAATCTTGAAATTAAGCAAGATGGTGAGATGCTTAAATATTGGAGTGAATTGGTCAACCAAGGCAATTCAACACAATGAACATTTGTGTGTTTATCATTAGGATTCAATATGAAGCTTATCATTCATCTAAATTGGTTATAAAAAATCATGAACCATGATATGTCAAGATTCCTCATAGGTAATATGGATGTTAGGGAAACCCACAACACACCTTCTTAATTAAAATCAAGGATTCAATTGAAGCCAAGAAAGTTAGTTAGCCTTAAGAATGAAGGAATCCCCACTTCCTAGAGGATGTCAATGCTTCCACACCTATAAAGGATTCATGATCCATAAGATAAAGATGATTTCTACCATCAAACAACCCTTGTTCTATGTAAATTCAATGATTCAATGCTAAACCAAAGAAACAAACCAACAATTGCTCATTTAAGTACCAAGCTAAAGTATGAAACAAGCATAAGAAATATGAACTAGGATAATAAACATAAGATAAATGACAATCAAGCATAAATCCTTCAAAACCCGTAAATATCCAAGGTTTTAGCCTAAGTTAACCAAAATAAAAAACTAGCCACTCATGGCAAGAAGATAATAATCACAAAAGTGTTTTTGAATCAAGAAACTAATAATTGGTAGAAAGATGAAAAGAATATAGATCAAGCTCCCAAAAATCACCTCCCATGTGCTCTAATGGTGGAAAATTGAATTATCAGCTGCTAAACCTAACCCCCAAAGTAAATCATGACCAAAATGACCAAAATGCCCCAAATTGTGCAGTTGCGTGGGTACCCTCGCAAGTGTTGCGCGACTGAGACTCCATCATATTACGTGTTGCTGGAATGTTATTGGATCTTTTTCACCACTACACAACTCCACTACTCAATATTCCCTTGATCCCCTCCACACCTCATATTATTCAAATTTGGCCAATCATCTTTAAGCTTTAAATAGATAGTCCAAGTCCATCTTCTTTGATCCATGACACATCTTCATAAGCCCACTTCATCCAAGTCTTCAACATTTTAAGCCCAATTCCTCTTTTATGGATCCACAAAGCCCAATAATGCCTCAAAATCACACCAAGCCCATCTCCAAGCCAAACCACAAGCGCATCTAGACTCCAAAACCTTGCAAATACCTTTTACGAAATAGAAAGTACCTGACACAATCCATGATAAAGAAAATAAAGAATATACAATGCAGTACTAATAAAAAGAGCTAAAAATTCTAAAATAAACTAAAAAAAAGAACAAAAGATGGAAGTTAGAGGACTGGAGTTGAAAAAGACACAAAAATGATGTTGCTAGACAGCATGACCCCTCGTCAGTATGTTGGCCATATCTCATGACTCGTAACTCCGATTTATGACAATCAAAAAGTTTCGGAAACTAGACGAAATTTCGAATGACTTTTGTTTTTGTGACAAATGCTAATTACCAATTCTCATGACATGAGAACTATAATATCACGATGTAATATTGATTATTCCAAAAGATAACTACGTGTAATGCAAGTTTCCCAATCAGAAACGGATTTATACTGATCTCACGACGTGATATCATAATTCTCATGATGTGAGATGGCTTATAAGGAAACTATAAATAATCCTTTACATATTCGAATTGAGTAGGTTGAATTGATATTCTAGAAGTTATAGTTGATTTTAGAAGCCAGGGAACAACGAAATTCGACCATTGGAAGAAGAATTCAAGTGGAGATTAGAGATTTGAAGAATCAAAGAAAGAATTCACATTACAAATTTGGTTTGAATTAGAATTATCCTGTCACTACAAGAAAAATACCCTTTTACGATGCGCAAATTACGACAATCAGTGATTTATGTCACGCAAAAGAGAGTGATATTAAAAAAGTGTCATCTATGAAAAAAAATTAAGGATTTAGGTCACACATTATTGTGTGCCCTTAAATTAGTGTCAAAAGAAAAAAATTAAAAACACGGAGGGCGCTGTATCTTAAATGTGCGCCCTCTATAAGTGTCGCTTTATATTTTTAATGAAAGGCGCGTTTAATGGATACAGGGGAAATGAAATTCCCAAATTTTTGAAAACCTGCTTGAATTTCTCTCCATTTCTCTCTCACGATCATCTGCAACCCTAGCTATCTTAATTTCTCTCCATTTTTCTCTCTCACGATCGAAGGACAAAACAAAACACAAATTTCACTTACATAAGAGTTGGTGATTTCTCTCCATCTCTTTGCGAGTTAGGAACAAAGACACATAGAACATAAAAGAGGAGGAAAAAGGTACACACATACATTGTGTGTGAGGTGCGGCTGCCATAGCTTTCACTTCCAGAAGAGTCGCTAAGAATCGGTAATTCCATCTAGGGTTCTACAAGCTTAATCGATATCTCAACATCTTACCTCCTACATCATATTTCTTCAACCATTCGTGACCATTCTAGAGTTTAACATGTTCTTTAGCATTCTAGGGTTCGACATCTATTGAGATTCTTTAACATTGTTCACTAGCCTTCTAACCTTTCTCTGGATAGGCATCGACTCCAAGGTAAGAATAGATTTGTTACATTACTTTATACAATCCTATCATCGATTTGGTTTAGTTTCATTTTCCATGCTCTGATTCTCATCTATTCATAAAGAAAATTTATGCATTTTATCCATTCGATGAAATGTCTAACTTAGATTAAACAATTCTAGAATCAGAATAAGAATTGTTAATGTCTTTAAAATAAACGTATCAAAAGCATCTCCTTTCACATTTTTTTAAAAACGTATTGGAAGAAAAATTAAATAAAGAAATATAAAAAAAAAACGTTTTTCCATGGTTTCCTAATACTGAGAAGTACTTCCTGAAGACTTTTTACATCCAGTAAACTGCTTGCCTTTAGCAGATTCAGAAGCCAAGTTCGTAAGAAGGGCTGCCTTTTTGAAACATAATCTATGGATCACACCATATGCTTGTGGTGAGGATTTCCCCAAAGGAGAATTTCCCAACCAAAACTCGTGTGTTGGTGAAGGTCTGGCTTCATGGGTCCAGCAAAATCGATCTCTTGAAGAAATCGACATTGTTCTTTGGTGACTAAGTATATTTCCTTGTTTTTTTAATCAGGTTGTGCATTCTTTTTGTACAATATTTTCTTATATGTAAATTTGCAGGTATGTATTTGGGATAACTCATGTTCCTAGGTTGGAAGATTGGTCTGTGATGCCAGTGGAACGGATTGGGTTTATGCTTCAGGTATGTATGTTTTTAATTGGTTATGTTTGTTTATTTTATTTACAAAAAACTAAAAAAAATATATATAAATGTTTTGGTTTTGCAGGCACATGGGTTCTTTAACTGCTCTCATGCAGTGGATGTTCCCCCTAGTCCTAGAGCTTGTGAGTCAGATGTGAAGGAGGGCCATGTGAAAGAGACGATTGCCACCAAGTCGGTTTCAAATGGGTTGATAGCCATGCTTTGAACATCCATTCAAAGATATGTAAGTGTGTCTAAGTGTGTAAGTGTGTCCAAACCTGTATTATTTTCTGTGTTCATCCCAATGTTAACAGGGAGACTGTAAACAGAGGAAGACTTTTGGAAACTTAGATGAAGATGTTGGTGACTCAAGATCATATTCTATGATTTTGCTCAATACAAATGCCCATAACAGCATGGTCAAAGATAAGCTCGGGATTTCAATATTGTATTTATTCCTAGTTTATATATTCGTTTTTTTTTCTAATTTTGATGCTTTGGTTTGTTTATATGTAAGATGAGTAAAGCTGATTTCATTCGAAACAACCGTGGGATTGATGATGCAAAGGACTTAGCTGAAGAGTATTTGGGTGCTCTTTATATATGATGGATAAAACATAATTTCTTCATCACTTATATCTCCGTTGTCCCGTTGTCCATTTAGGTGATAAAACATAAGTTGCTGTTTTGGAGCCACTTCAGTGTTTAGTTGATTTAAAAACAATTTAAATACAAATGCCTGATCACACACGATGGATCCATCTCTCTTTCCAGGAAGAAATTACCATATACTAAACGATAATTTTCAAAATCTGCTTCAACTTCCACTTGTTCTGCATCAAAAACTATGTCTTCTGCTAAGGGCATGGAGGGTTTGGAAAAGTTTACAAAGGTAACATTATCAATGGATCAAGTGTTATTGTTGCTGCCTTTAAACAGTTGGATTTTATGTCCAGTCAAGGTGCAACAGAGTTCTGGGCAGAAGTTGAGATGCTTTCAAATTTGCATCACTATCACCTTGTATCCTTGGATATGCAGATGAAGTAGTGGAGGAGCGAATTGCAGATGATGATGTCATACTCATCAAAGGAACTAAAACAACAGGGGTTGTATGTGATTTAATATTTCTTTATTTTTTAATATAAAAGTAATTAATTTTGTGACAATTTGAACAGGTGTCGATAATTCTGAGAGGTGCTAATGACTTCATGCTTGATGAAATGGATAGGGTGGTACATGATGCTTTATGTATTGTCAAAAGAACCCTCGAATCCAATATAGTAAGAAAAAAAGAAAATATTAATTTTTAATTTTATTTATTGATTGATAATTTATATTATTGTTGTTTTTAGGTGGTTGCAGGAAGGGGTGCAGTTGAGGCTGCTTTATTTGTGTATTTAGAGTACCTTGCTACAACTTTGGGGGTCCCGCAAACAGCTGGCGATTGCAGAATTTGTTGAGTCATTGTTGATAATTCCAAAGGTTTTTTTATTATTATTAAAATTTGAAAAATATATAATTTAATTTCTTATGAATGGTGATAATTTTATTTTTTGATAATGCTCAGGTTCTTGCTGTGAATGCTGCAAAGGATGCGACTGATGCTGTTTAGGGTTTGATTTTTTTTAGTGAAATACCAAAAATACCCTTTTACTGATGCTGTTTTGGGTTTGATTTTTCAGCTATTAGGAGAAGGTGCTCCATCTGATGCATCTTTTTTAAGTGGATCAAACATTAAAATAGAAGAGAAATCTGTAAAGTCCAATTTCACATCCTTAAAAAAGAGTTATTCTTCTTGAGCTGATGTCGTTGATAAAAATCTTGCAAATGATGACATAGTTTCCTGGTCCACTTAATTAGTGACAATTTACCTTTTTGCCCCTCCCCATACCAAAAAAGTTGATCAATTCTATTCTGTACAATATGAATGAGAAGTTGAAACATTAATGATATTGTTGATGATGCTTAATGATTTGTGAACTAATAGGTAGTTTTTATTCCAATTTCTTAGATAAGGTTTTAATATTAATAATTCTAATTTAATTAAATGTAGTTGGATACAAACTAAAAACTCAGATAATCATAGAAAAATGTCTTGATGGAATATGGATTTAGGGTTCCAATGCTTGTTTATATACTTAACAAGTGTTGTTTTTCTTCAAAATCCAGTTGTAATGGCTGTTGTTCGAGGCAGTTCTTATATCATAGGAAATAACTATTTGCTTAAATCCATATATTGTAACAGGTGCAAAGAGATTTTGAAGAATTGCCTTCTGAAGCATTTCGTTCACTACGTGATTCTTTAAATGTAAGTAAATATAAAATACTTGTACCCTTTTGTATCTATTAATGTGGTGTTTAATAGTTGGAGTTATAACTGCAAAACTTGTTGAAAACATTTAACAAGGGTAACCTTTTGTAACCAATTTGCCCTTGTAAAAATAAGGGTAAGATTTTTTTATTTTTTTATTTTTTTTATTTATTTTATTTTTTTTTATGATTATTGCATTATAAATTGATGTTGAGTTTTTGCAGAAACTTTATAGGGGCAAAAACGTTTTTTTTGTAAGATTTCTCTCTCTTTTTTCATATATATTTTTTATTTTTTTTATTTATTGTTTTAAACTAAAATTCCTTAATATGTTTTTTTAGGTGCAGGTATTATTGCTCGTGATGGTGTTGCTGGATTATCTAGAGGTTTTGTGTCAAATGTATTAAAAACGTTACCAAACAGCAGGTTTAATTTTAACTTTTTGTGCCATTAAAATTTAAATCCTTGTCTATTTTCCTTCTTTTTCTTTATTAAGTTTTGTCTGGATATTAGAAAAAAAAAGATATGAAAAAGAAAAAAGCTGAGGGTAAATTTGTAAGAAGTTAGGAGTTGATAGGGAAAGTGTAACAACCGAAAAATACAACCAATTTAAACTTTTCAAAAACAACCCGATTTCATTAAATTGTTTACAAAAGGTTTTCAATACAAATCATTTAGAGTATTCCCAGAATCACATTGCTACAAAATCATGAGGAGCGGTACGATCACGCCTTCGCCTTGCCACAGTCTCCTGAAGAACCTGAAAAACATTAAACCACAACTGTAAGCCCGAAAGCTTAGTGAGATACCCCCAAAATACCAACCACATATACGCCCTTCCAGGCTACGACCTTCCGGTCCAAAACATATTGCCTTCCGGCCCAAAACATATAAAACATACAACATAACATAACATAGAACAGCCATGCATATCAGGTCTACTGTGTGTTTGGTCTGCCGTATCGGGCCTTCAGTCCACCGGATCCATCCTCCGAGTCTAGTCATGTCCTTCGAGTCTACAGTGTGGTTGGTCCGCCCGCACTGGGCCTTCAACTCACCTGGTCCACTCTCTGAGTCTACAGTATGACTGGTCCGCCCGCATCGGGCCTTCAGTCGGCCTGGTCCACTCTCCGAGCCTCGGCACGTCTGGTCCGCCCGCGTGGGGCCTACAGCATATCCGGACCGCTCGCTGGGCCTTCGGAACAACCGGTCCGCCCTGAGTATCTTGGCCTACAGCACAAAGCAGGACCGCCTCAACCCATCTCCAGTCCAAACAACCATGTACACATAAACATATAATCATATAATAGTTCACATTCAAACAAGCCGATCTAGCAGATCACATAGCATAACATACTCTAAGCAGGATACCGACCTAACAGGTCATTAGCATAGCATCTCCCTATCTCTCAGGATACCGATCTCAATCAGGTCTCTAACACATACCATCCTAACTCTCAGGATGCAAGCATATCACAACAACAAAATAATAACAACTACCCGGATCTCAATCCGATAAGGGCCGGCCTTGGTGCCTTAGACCCTGTTGATATAGTGAGGATAACTCACCTCGAAACTGCCGGCTGAAAGGATAAGATCCCGCTGCTCCAACCCTGACACGAACTCCTCCACTGAACACCGAAATATTCAATTCAATAAATACCCTTAATTACCAAAATACCCCTGGAAGACAACTGGTCAACCTTGGACAAAGTCAAAGTCAACCCCTAACTGACCCTACTCGCCGAGTCAACCCGATGACTCGCCGAGTCCCTATGCTCAGAACTTCCCTCCATCAGCGACCCAACTCGCCGAGTCCAACAACTCTGAGTCCACTCGCACCCAACTCACCGAGTCATCCCTTGACTCACCGATTCTCGACTCAACCAGGAAATATTGGGACTCTTCGACAAGACTCGCCGAGTCCAAGAACAGACTCGCCGAGTCTAAGGCTATCTTCAACCTACTCGCCGAGTTCCAGGCCATCTTCAAGCAACTCGTCGAGTCCACCCATGTGACTCGCCGAGTATCACCAGTCTGAATCAATTCAGAAGCACTCCAGGCCATGCAATTGATCCAAAACATAGATCCAACCTCCTACAATCCATCCATCACGTAAAGTGGCAAACTTTACGTGAATCCAAAGAGATCTAGGCCTTATTCACCTTAGAACTAAGGTTTGGGACATGATAGCTCCATTAACAACACAAGAACAGGGGCTTTAATGCTCTTAAGATCTTCTCCACTCCAGATCTGAGGTAGCAACCTCAGATCCATCCTTCAAACTCAAGATGCCACACAACTAAGCTTCCCACACAACCCCAAAATGAGAATCTAAGAGAACACAGCCCAAGAACGAAATATTACCTCCAAAGAATGCCCCAACAGCAATGAAACTCGAATCCAAGCAAAGCCCTTTGATCCAAGCCTCTTCTCCTTCAAGATTTCTTCAACAACACCTCTCCAAGCTCCAATTTGCTCAACAATGGGGTTCCTCCACGAAATTAGGGTTTCTGGGACTCAAGGGGGATCAAGGAGGCTGTGGAGGAAACATAATGATCTTTATATAGGGCTCATTCCCCGGATTTAGGGTTTTCTTCACCCAACACCTACTCGCCGAGTCCATCTTTGGACTCGCCGAGTAGGTCACTTGACACGCGACCAAAGTCGCGACTCTACTCGCCGAGTCCATCCATGGACTCATCGAGTCGCCCTTCAAGATTTACACTTTTAGCCCTTCAACACTACTCTTGCTATTTCGGGATGTTACAATTCTCCCCCACTTGAATTAGGCTTCGTCCTCGAAGCTTACGGCAACTCAACTCCAAAATACTCCCACGACGCACCACCTGGCTTTAACCGGACCAGGTCCCTCAAGGCATACCCCACGAAACTCAACTCACTCTCTCTTTCCT